GGGGGGTTGGGGGGGGGGGGGGGGTGCTCGTTCCTGTCGTGTTAACTGCTGACTCTAAGGGCTCTGAAAAGGTTGTGCTGTCATTTTGAGGGACGATGGGATCTCAGGTCAGCAAAAGGCAACACACAGCACCCATTTTTATCTCTTTCAACCAAACATGCCAGTCAAAAAAGTGCAAAAATAAAGCTTCAAAATAGGGTCCTCATGCACAGAAAAAACACTGCATAGATAATAACAGTGGGTGAAACTGCTGATGCATTTAAACCTAAATCTTTTAGCCATCAGACAAACAGCGTTTTTAAAGAACGCCATCTAGTCGTTAAGTTATGTTGTCTGAGAGGAAACATTTTGAAGCTGAACTGAATACTTGAGATGTTAGGCAAAACATTTACTTTATATATTTATAAAGGAAATCAGTCAGTCAGTGTTCTTAAGTTTTATTCACAGGTTGAACATGGCAAACTGGTTCATTTTTATCTTTAATATTGCTTTTTGTGTCTAATCGCTTAGGTCTGACATTTTTTTATCCTGAAGACACTTTAAACACCATTAATCGCATTGTCTTTGACGTGATTCAATATACAAAATATGACTCCAGGTCAGTGTCACTTAAGATCTACAGGTGCATCTCAATAAATTAGAATGTCATGGAAAAGTTCATTTATTTCAGTAATTCAACTCAAATTGTGAAACTCGTGTATTAAATAAATTCAATGATGCAGTAATTCATGCAAAAGGAGCCCCTACCAAGTATTGAGTGCATGTACAGTAAATGAACATACTTTCCAGAAGGCCAACAATTCACTAAAAATGTTTTTTTTATTGGTCTTATGGAGTATTCTAATTTGTTGAGATAGTGAGTTGGTGGGTTTTTGTTAAATGTGAGCCAAAATCATCACAATTAAAAGAACCAAAGACTTAAACTACTTCAGTCTGTGTGCATTGAATTTATTCAATACACGAGTTTCACAATTTGAGTTGAATTACTGAAATAAATGAACTTTTCCACGACATTCTAATTTATTGAGATGCACCTGTATATCACACAGCAAACATGCCCAATAGAAGACTTTGTGCAGTCTTTGTGTTCCAACACAGTGCAACCACCAGATGGCACTGTGTTCTTACTTCTATTTCCGTGTATACTTTCATTTCCAGAAAAAGTGTGCGTGTTTATGATAGTGTGGATAGATCCTTGCCTGCCAGTGCACCCTGCAGGAAAACCGTCTGTCGAGGTGATGAGAGGTCCATCCTGAGAAACTGGATGAAGAGAGAGAGGGGCGGGGTGGAGAAAACAATACCAAACTGACACTGCATTGCAGGGGAGAAAGAATAGAGTTAATGCATGTATGCAGAGAATATGCAAGTGATCTTATCCTTCATCTGAAACTTCCAACTACAAGATCCAATATTCAGAATTTTTTCATCCATTTTTCAACACGTGCCTTGAAGTTCTTGTGTTCTTCGCAGTGGCACAGTTGATTTGAAGGGATTTTTCACCTAAAAATGACAATTCTGTCATCATTTCAAACCTGTATGTCTTACTTTCTTCTGTGGAAAACCAAGGAGAAGTTTAGCAGAATGTCAGAGCTGCTTTCACCCTGACATTAAAAGTGGATGGTGACAAGTTCGCATTTATTGTAATAACTTGGATGTTCTGCTAAACTTTCCCTTGAAAACCATACAGGTTTGGAATAACATGAGGGTGAGAAAACAGAATGACAGAATATTCATTTTTGGGTGAACCATCTCTTCAAGAGAACTTTTGCTTTGAAACCGTCATGTCCTATAGTGTCCGTATCATAAAAGTGGAGAATGACGTGAATGCTGAATATCTTAGATCAGTGGTTCTCAACCAGGGGTCTCAGCAAATGTCTAAGGGGGTCTTAAGATGTCAAAATATTTTAAAATAATACAAAACATGCATCAAAACAACTAAAATAAAGATATATCTTATTTTAATTCAACCCCTCAACAACTGTATTAAAAAACATGGATGTATGATGAAGCCTAATTTTAAAAGTGTGATTTCTAGGCCTGGAAAAGTCATATAAGTTAATAAAATCATAAAGTCCATAGACGTTTTTATAGTGAATATTATGAATGAATATTATAAATACATTTTTCAGTTATGCCAAGCTAAATTTTTTACTTATGCCAAGCTATTTTTTATTTTATATATTATACTTTATATTAGCTAATTTTATTTTAGCAATTGTGATTTTATTTTTTACAATCCTTATCCTTAATCCTTGTCGAGTAAATCATAGTAATTGGACCTTGTTGTGAGCAATAGGGGACCATGGAGTCAAAAAGGTTGAGTCTTAAATGTTTATTATGTGTTGTATAGTTCTTGTGAATTAGATTTTAAGGAACACCAAAATACATTTGCCAAATACACTTCATCAAGGTGTATACTCACTTGGCCAGTAACCACAATTCAGATTTTAGTTAGCCAAAATAGTCCTGTGTGCGGACTTTGTTTACCTCCTGAATAGTGTGTGGGAAATGTGTTTCCTTTGTGTGATTGACAGAGCATGAGGTCAGCCTGGACAGAGAGGTGCAGCTGGAGAGAGGATTCCTTATATGGGGATTCAAGAAGGTGAGAGAACACATGGTAATTATATTAGTGACTTTAATCAGGGTGACACATTTGGCTGATGCACCCCACCAACCCCGATTTCCTGTTTCCCGCTCAATCATCAATTTCGTTTTATACAGAAATGCAAAACACACAGACACTGTATGTGTGTATGCATTTGTATATGTGTGGGTTTTTCTGTCTGTTTTTTTAGGACCCTACTGATTTTGAGTGGAGTTTTTGGAATGAGTGGGCGTGGCAATCTCTTTTGTGGTCTCTGATTGGCCATGCTGTGGTGTCCAGATTAGCGGCTTATTTTCTGCCTCAGGTAAATTTAATTCAGAGCAAATGAACTTGAGCAAAGTCATCAAATATTTGCATGTTTCTACATTTTTTCTTGTGCATTTATGTTACAGTTCCGACTGGCAGTCTTAACGGTGTATGGCGTCCTCTCAGCTGGTTGGCTTCTGGGAGTGCGTGGCTTGACTCTTTTGATGCTGCATCTGAGCATCACACTGGTGGTTGCTCAGCTACGTAGCTCCATCCTCTCATGGGTTTGCTCCCTCCTGCTGCTCTCCACGCTCAATGTCACTGCCTTTCAGGATTTACAGGTGTGTATATGTGTGTGTGTGTGTGTCAGTAATAGCTGTAAACCATGTATGTGATGCACCAAATTTTCTTTTCCTCTAAAGATGCATGAAAGTGTCCAATTTAAAGGGTTTGTTCACCCAAAAATGAAAGTCTGTCCTCATTTACTCACTTTCATGTTGTTCCAAGTCGTTATGGTTTTTTTTTCCCCTCTTGGAACACAAAAGGAGATATTTGAATGATGTGCTGGTTGCTTTTTCCATGAAATTATCGTGAGCGATGGCTAGATCTTTCAAGCTTAAAAAAGGATGCAAAACCACATAAATGTATCATAAAACTGTCAAAAAAATGGCCATATGACTCGTGCACCATATTCAGTATTCATGAGGGAAATAGCAATGCCTGACTTGAATGAATTGTTCTTTTGAATCAAAACTGTTGTCAATAGCTTAATTTCAGAGAGGTTGCATTCAGTAGTGTTTGTGCACCACACTCAGCGGTCCTGCAAAAGTAATGTAGGTTGTGATGAAATCAGAAATTTCCAGGATGTTGTATATAATTTGCAGGTCTAAGGGCTGCTATCAATATGTGGGAGCTTCCAGACTTCCCAGGAGAGGAGGGGTGTCTGCCGTTTTCATAATTTTAGTTTAGGTTTTAGCAAGTTTATGTTATTTAAATATCTCTATTTGGCTTTAATTTATTTTATTTAATTTTCAGTTTAATTTTTAATAGTTTTAGTACTTAGCTTAAATTTATTTCATTTAGTTGCCAAGGTAACATTTCTAATTGTCTGGTTTTCTAAGTTTTTCATCTTATATTTATATTTTATTTAATTTCAGTAACAAAATGTAATTATTTTTATTTCTAATAGCAAAAAACATTTTTTTTAAATGGTTTTAACATTTTTTAGTTTTAGTTAGCAATTACAAAACTGGTTGATTTGGTTGTGAAAACCATTATGAATGGTTCATGCATAAGTCAAACTGATTTATTCAACTTATTTCTTAAGTTAAAAGCTCCCTGGAGGTAAAGATTATTAGTGAATAGCTTCAGTTTTGGTCTATTTCTCACACAAATCTGTTTTATGGCTTCAGGAGGCTTGAAATATAGAACATGAATCACATGGAGCAGTGTCGTGCCCTTTTATGAACATTAAAGGGTTAGTTCACCCAAAAATGAAAATTAAGCTGTGTTTTACTCAACCCCGAGGCATCCTAGGTGTATATGACTCTTCTTTCAGACGAATCCAGTTGGAGTTACATTAAAAATTGTCCTGGCTATTCCAAGCTCTATCATTGCAGTCAACGGGTGTTGCAGTGCTTCAGTCCAAAAGAAGTGAAATAAAAAGCGCCCATCCATAAAAAAAGTGTCTCACACAGCTCCGGGGGGTGAACAAAGGCCTCCTGTAGCGAATCAATGCGTTTTTGTAAGACAAATATCCATATTCAAAACGTAATAATCACTTTAATCTAGCTTGTGCCAACAGTTGTACACAGAAGCAGCTCCGAGGCGGATGACGTATGAGGTCAGCGTTGCGCATGCACCGGTGAGTCTCGTGAAAACCAACGTTTGTTTACAGGAGCAAAGGAAGCAAAGTTTCCTTACTTTAGCAAAGGAAAACCAGTCTCCTCTTGGCTTATATCGAAATCCTCCGACATTCTTCTTTACAAATCCTCGTTTTGTACTTCTAATTAGTGACCGTTGTTTTGTTTTAAAGCCGACCTCATACGTCATCCGCCCGGAACTGCTTCCGTTTACAACAGTGAGCGTAAGCTAGATGAAAGTGATTATTAAGTTTTGAATATGGATATTTTTCTTACAAAAACGCATCGATTCGCTACAGGAGGTCTTTGTTCACCCCCGGAGCCTTTTTTATTTTATGGATGGGCGCTTTTTATTTCACTTCTTTTGGACTGAAGCACTGCAACACCCGCTGACTGCAATGATAGAGCTTGGAATAGCCAGGACAATTTTTTATCTAACTCCGACTGGATTCGTCTGAAAGAAGAAAGTCATATACACCTAGGATGCCTCGGGGGTGAGTAAAACACATTCTAATTTTCATTTTTGGGTGAACTAACCCTTTAAAAGCTTAAATTCCCATTTATTTTAATTGCATGGAAAAGAGTGACCAGCACAATCTTCAAAATTTCTCCTTTTGTGTTCCACAAAGTAAGGCATACAGGTTTGATGAAATGATTTGGTATTTGGTTGAACTACCTGTATCCCTTTAAAGCTATCTGTATTGATGGGGTGAGGTGTGATGGACAGAGTGAGGGATTTGTCTGGTTCAGGATCAGGTCCAGCAGAGTCTGTGCTGTCTCCAGGGCTCTCAGAGCACATCTGCAGAGCTCCGCAGAGAGAATGGAGATGAGACTGAAACAAGCCTGCATTAAATGTCACCGTTCTCGTCACACAAACACAGTGGCATACACTCTCAAACAGTCTCCCATGCAAATATTCAAAGTCAAACATTTACATGCACAACAGTGCTTGTGTATTTCCTTTTTTGCCACACAATAGATGTTATAACAGCACAACAAAAAGAGCCAGCTGTCTCCCAGAAGGTCTTGTTTTTTTGTTTGTTTCTTTATCTGCTTAGTCACTTGACACAGTGAATGAAAGATTGACAGCTGTCATTAGATATCTGACTGAAGGGGAAAGCAACGAGATCAACAAGCTCATGCAGATGGAGAGGAGGAAAGAGACAGAGGGAATATTGATCTGAGTGACAAATGAGTTCCCTCCTTGCCTCGAGTTTCTCCTTGATTAATTGTGACACAGGCCCAAAGCTTCCCCTCTTAATTAAACCTTCATTTAATTATTATTTATTACTCAAAGCAGTCATTAACATACCCATCTGAAGAACAAACAACTGTAATTTAATCTAATGTGATTTTTATTCGCTTTTAATGATCTCTTTTTTTTCAGTACATCTCATTTTACCTCAGTTACTTATGAGCTGTGAAAAACCCTCAGGAAGACAGCAATACCCATGCAGCCACCGCAGAGATCGCCGTAATGACATACAAAGAAAAAACAGTGCATCAGCCAGTGACTAATTTCAGAACGCTGCCCTGTCATTTAGTGTAATTTAGAGGTGGTTATAGCTTTATTTTTGAGTGGCGATAATGAGTTTTTGAAAGTGGCTGCTGCTGTGTCTCCTGGCTGGATGCCAGCTGTCATCTTCTGAGCATGCCCAGTAGATCATAATAGTTTAGTTTCACCACAGCGGATCAGTGGATGCTGGTCTGAGGTGGAGAATTCTGGAAAGATGGAGCTGTGGTTTACAGCGGTTATTCATCACTTACACAGTAGCCTAGCGAACACTACTCAGTCGCTGTAATATTGTTAAGGAGCTGTCATTGCTTAACTGGAAAAATAATGACTAAATGATAAATAATAATAAAGCCTACAGAAGCCTGAATCTAATCCTGAATAAACAAAATTTATTTTTATTTGGGGGCTTTGGCAGAATTAGTAGAGGGTGACAGGAAGTTATTTGGGGAATGGGATCTGAATATATTGGAGCAATTATTTTTTCTGTTTTTGTGGTCAGGCTGCACAGCTGTTCCTTCTGTCTGTGATTTTCTTTTTCTATGAATTTTGTAGATTGTAGATTGTGGTCCTGCTTCACCAGTTCTGACAAGATTGTGTCCTCGACTCCTCCTCTATTTATTTATTAAAAATTTTTTTTTTTTTGAGGGGACACCAATGGCACTCCAGACTGACCTAATAATAATAATAATAACAATAATATATTACAAATGATTAATTAAAAAATAACAAAACAAATTCTCCCTGTTGCTACCACAGAGGCACATGCATCTATTAGCGCCAGCTTAATTGCATTTTAGATTTACACTGATATGCAGTTTCCTGATTAGTTTGGTTAATTGAAATGGTTTTAAATGTTTTTTTCTTTATTTTTTTTATTTGTCTCTAGCGTGGTTGGTACACTTCTGAGGACCAGTACTACCTCTTGCTCTTCAGTACTGCTGTTTGTAGTTTGCGCTGCATTAGCTTTAGTCTGGAGCTGTGCTGGTGCCCCCTGCAGGCTAGAGGACCAAACCACTGCCCCCCTATAGAGGTTAAAGGACTGAAGACACTCATTTTTCAGTTCTACAAGCTCACTGCCTACTGTTTCTATCACCCTCTGTTTTACAACGGACCCATTGTGACCTTCAGAGACTTCAGTGAACAGGTAGAAGAAAATGAGATACATAAAAAGCTGCAGGGTCTGTGCTTTATCCAGATGTACTGTGAATGTCTTTCTCTGTCTCTGCAGATAGACAGGCCAGTGTGTAAAGTCTCTGTGGTGTATGTGTTGAGTGGAATACTGCGTGTGTGTGTCTGGTGGTGTTTAGCCGAATTCATGATCCACTTCATGTACATGCACGCCATCCAGAGCAACGAAACCTACTTGGAGATGCTGCCACCCTGGGCGCTGGGTAAGTTTGTGGCTGCATATGAATTCATGAACTTTCATAGTATTTACTGAATTTGATGAAGAATGTCTCAACAGTCTTTAGGGATGCAGGTGTGTAGTATGAATGCATTTCCAGACACACTACATCTGTCATGTTGGCCTTGTCCTTTTGAAGTTTTTTGACCTAAGACGTGCTACCAACAACCACAAATACAGTCTACTTGGGTGTCAAATAAGTACACTACCATTAAAAAGCTTGGGGTTAATAAAAAAAAAAATGTTTTAAAAGTAGTATATCCCTAAGTATGAACTTTCATGGTAACTGCAGTGCTTATACTTGAAAATAGCAACTCTTTTTAAATCTGATGGCCCCTTGGCTCTCACTGTCATATAGCAAAGTGTCCAGAATTTCATGCAGTACATGATCTGAGTATTGCTAGCCTGCTATATTATGAGTTTTTCAAAATCTTACTTTTTTGACATACTGCTGTTTGCATACTGTGAAGCAGAGAAGTATGGATATTTGAACTCAGTGAGTATTTTTTTATCCAATTTATGTCTTTCAGAATGGATACAGTCTGTCATGGTATAACTGCTGTTATTTTGGGTGTGAAAGTGTTTATTACATTATTATCTTGCACAGATGTTCACAACTAAAACACACACACACACACACACAGTTTATTGATCTGTGGAAGTTGCTGATTTGTGCTGCCTGAACTTTGATTCAAAAACACAGACACTGCAAGAGAGAGCAGTGTAGAGAGGGTCTATACAGCAGGAACATCGAGTCATTATCGCCACTTTGTACCTGTTTTGTACAGAAAGGGCTTGCAGAAATTCTGTCCTTTAAGCTTTTAGCTCTGTACCAGTGGGATATGGGAAAGACAGATGCTGTTCTCAGTTTCCACTTATACACAGAAAGAGAGAAGCGAAGAGGGAGAGATGACTAGAGAGGATGAGGATGATAGAACTAAATTATGAAACAGTTCAGAATAAAACTGAAATCTGATATAAATCATCAAATCTGCAGTTCTTCTCAGCCAGAATGGGATGAACGGACGAAATGAGGTTAACATACACTGCATGGCCAAAACTGTGGCACCTGATGTGGCCGAACAGCCCTGTCATTTCAGATGTTTAAATGGCAAATGTCTGTGTGAGATCAATCACATGGTTGCTTTACTTTTTAATGTCATGTACCACTCTCTCTTTTTCACCTGCAGGTGGTTTGGCTCTTGCATTGGTCCAGTTTTTTTATGTAAAGTATCTGGTCTTGTTTGGAGTGGTGTCTCTGCTTGTCAGATTGGATGGGCTTGAGCCGCCCAAGTTACCACGCTGTGTCAGCATCATGTACAGCTTCACTGGGATGTGGAGGTAAATATACACACACTTCTGTGTTCTGTCAAACCTCAAAAGTTCTGCCTTTTGACTTTTTAGAGCTGGATTGGACTGATTTTGAAGTGATTCTGTCATCCCCTGCAGTACTTCTGTGTAACATCAGGAGGCAGAGCTGTACTGCATTCACTATAATTGATTCAGCCATGAAACGATTGGCACAATGCTATAAGACTGACTTACACCCATCTACAAGCACATTACAGGAGCATAACAAGATCCATGCTTTCTGTTTAGTGTCACAAACATCTTGCGTCAAACGTATGGAATTGAGCGTTCGGCTTCTCTGATGGAGTTTAGCGCTCTGATGTCTCGTGAGACGATGTAGAACAGGCTGGTACAATCAGGCTTCCTGCAAGATGATTGGATTTTACTTTAAAAGCTTGAAAGCTTGATTGAAGGTACACAGCATTTCAACTTCAATAGTCTGGGATGGTCTCCTAGGCAACCAACACCAGTCTGGAAACAGCAGAGTTTTTAGATTTTCTGATCTTTTTTTTTTGTCTGTTTTTTCATCACATTCTTTAAACTTGGTAGAATATGCACATTTCTACTGATATATTTGCTTACTTTCATAAATCCATAGTGCAATGTGCAAAGGACTCAAATCAAATTAAATAATAATAACAATAATTACTGAAATACCACTAAAAATGTAGGGTCGGTAAGCTTTTTTTTGTGTTGAATGCTGCACCAAGGCTGCATTTATTTGATCAGAATTACAGTAAAAATTATTACTATTTTGTAACATTATTACAATTTAATAACTATTTTCAGTTTGAATATGTATTAAAAGTTAATTTATTCCTGTGATGGCAAAGCTGAATTTTCAGCAGCCATCACCCCAGTCTTCATTGTCACATGATCTTTCAGAAATCATTCTAATATGCTGATTTTCTGCATTTCTTGTTCTTATCAATGTTGAGAACAATTATGCTTCTTACTGTTTTTGTGGAAATCATTATACTTTTTCAGTGTTCTTTGATGAATAGAAAGTTCAATGAAATAGAAATCATTTGTAAAATGTATAATGTCTTTACTGTTACTTTTGATCAATTTAATGCATCCTTGTTGTGTTAATTTTCCAAACATTTGTATGGTAGTTTATATATAATATATAAACTTCTGCATTATATACTATAGTATTAACCATCACTGCCAAAAAAAAAGATATTAAACATCATGACACAAAAATTCTGAAAGCTTATTTTAGATTTCATGTTCATTTAAAATTATTTTAAATGGTCTTAAATTATTTTACAGTAGTAAAAACAACAACTAACTGTAATAACTTCACGTAATGATCTACTTCACTATACCAGTGATTGTCAGTTAATTTTCATAACCCAGCAGATCATTGTCACTCAACGTCGTGTAGATAGAGTGACACTATCTTCTGTTTCCTGTGTTATCGTGCATGTTTTTGTGTATATCAGCAGATCTGCGCTGCAGACAGCTGCTGAAGCTCTGAGAGCCGGGAAGGTTAAACACCAGTGTGTGTGTGTGTCTGAGTGGTGTTGAAGGTGATGGAGTTTAGAGTGTGATAAATGAGAGCTGTAAGGAAACAGACGTATGCCGGAGACTTTAGCAGGACCTGCTGTAAGACCCCGTCTGGCTTCAATCCCACACAGAGAAAGAGCTCAGCTCCTCTGGACCCGATGGAGCGCAAGCACACACACTTTTTCCAACAGCTCAGCATAGCCTCAACACACTCGCACACACTGATATACTTCTAAACCCCACTCACATGCTCATATCTGTGTTTAATGGCTCAGAACCTCCGGATGCAACATACCACGTGGAGACAGTACCCCATACTACAGGACATCATAGTCTCTGATTACAGTGCAAGTATCCTACAGGGAGCAAACGAGATTGAGAACATTGAGAGAGAGAAAGAGAGGTTGAGATGTTGCTCTTGGCTGTAGTTAAATCTGGAGATTGCTTTGTCTGTGAGCGTGCATGTGTCTGCACACACGTGCATGAATGTGTGAGTATTGCTGTGTGTGCATGTGTGTGATTTAGTACAGTCACTATCATGGTCTGAATTTACGGCGGTTGAAAGGTTTATGGGTTGCTATAAAACGCTGTTCGTTTAGTCTAGCATCAACACACACATTCTATACCATTTTGCTGACTTCTGCCTATAGCTTATCTGATCACGCTCAATGGATCTATTGTTTTTATGGGTCAATGGAACAAGGCTATTATTTCCAATTTGGCATTAAATCAAAATTTGTTGTCTTAATGCATGTTTTTGGTCTTATTCTGAACAATTAAACCGAGCATTTTTAAAATAAAATTTCTTTGACTTTGTTTTTTTTAGCCTTGACCTAAGCCAAAATGTCATAACTTGTTCTTTTTGTGATATGCTAACTTGGCGCTTATATGACCAAGTTAATTGCAATCCATTCAACTGATGGATAAAATCAAGTTATGCCATACTTGTTTTTTTTGGCTTGTTCGATAGTCATTTAATTTCTAAAGTGAAATTCATTTTGATATTTTTTGGGGGCAGGTATAAAGTCAAACATGTCAGGATTATACATCTGTCCTGATACCATGACGAAGAAAAAAGCATTGTTAAAAGAAATAAATTCTTAAAAAGAAATACTTCAGTAGTTTAGCAGAATTACGAGAAATGTGCAGGGGAAAAAACAGGAATGACATCACTGAGAGAACGTTGCAGACTATGTGTCAAGGACAATAAGTCTCTTAAAATGTCTAATAATTTGACCTACAGTATTTATGACAAGCCAAGGTTGTGAAATGTCATGTGGTGTGACTTGCCAAAAACATAACATTTATGAATTAATAATTCATGATCCTTGTAAAAAAAAATACTTCTTACCTTGGAAAAAATATATTTAAAAATGTTTTTGAAAATAATTAATATATGCATACTCCCATATATTTGAAGTGTAGGGAAATATGCTGTTACTTGACTTTTTTTTTAGAAGGATTAAATGTTTGTTTCTTGAAAATTGTATAAATGTTTTTCCAAAACCATATGAAACCAGCATGAATACAAAGACTACATTTCTAAAAACCTAATCTCTAGATCTTTCCTTTTCCTTTATTGTGGATCTTTATTGTTATTGATCCTTATACCAAGCTAAACAATTGTTTTCTGTCCTTTGTCCCTTAACAGCTCTCACCAATTTTTAGATTTTCATTAGAGCATTATTTAGTATGTTTATTGACACATTTTCCTGATGGGGACCGTTAGCTGGTCTTTACTGCCCTTTTTACTACCCTTGTGAGGACATTAGGTCTCCACAATGTAGGCAAAACCTGACTCACTCTCTCTCACACACACATACACACAGTGAGAATGAGGCCAGGTTTTATGCTGATCTCTATTCTCTTCATCAGCTCACCTATAGTTTAGTGGTATCACGAGGAAAACAGCTGTGAGAGGTGTCTAGAAACTGTTTCCTTTAGGCCTGCTTTGTCAGATGATGTCTGAAGCTGAGAAGCCCTATCTGATGGAAACAGCAGGGTATTGAGTGAATCTGTTCCGATGTGTATCTCGCTTTCAGCTTCATGAACCACCATCTGACTTCAATCAATCAATCAATCAATAATTTTATTTCGGTCCTCACAGACAACTTTTCACAAAATAAATAAATAAACATAATTACCGAAAAAGGTGTTAATATGTGGTTTCCAACATAATTTATGATCAATTATAACACCCAAAAATTTATTTTCATACACTCTTTCTATTTCCTCATTGTTAATCCTTAATTTAATTTTGTTGTTACTTTGTCGATTACTAAATATTGTAAACTTAGTTTTACTTAAATTCAGTGAAAGTCTATTATCATCAAACGATTTTTTGAAAACCATGAGTTTAATACTTTAGACACTTTACAAATATCATTTATGTACAGTACAAACAATTTGGGGCCTAACACCGAACCTTGCGGAACACCACAAGTAACTTTCATTACATCTGATTTAACATTATTTATTTGTACAAATTGATATCTGTCATCGAGGTAACTTTTTATCCAAGCAAAGGCTTTTCCTCTTATACCATATCTCTCCAGTTTCATCATTAATAAACCATAATCAATAGTGTCAAATGCTTTTTTTAAATCTAGGACCACCCCCACAGTATATTCATTATTATCCATTGAAGAAGAAATCTCTTCTACCAGTTCCATCACAGCCATTGAGGTCGACCTGTTTGTTCTAAAGCCATACTGATGATCACTTATTAATTTGTGTTTGTCTATAAAATTATCAAGCCTGCGCACAAATATTTTCTCTAGAATTTTTGAGAACTGGGAAAGAAGAGAAATTGGTCTATAGTTGGAAAGAAGATGCCGATCTCCACTTTTAAAAATAGGAATAACTTTAGCTGTTTTCATATTACTAGGGAATATGCCTGTTAAAAAGGACTTATTACAAATGTGTGTAAATGGTTTTACTATATATTCTATAATATTTTTTATTAACGACATGTCAATGTCATTACAATCAGTGCAATATTTGTTCTTACAATTATTAACAATGTCAAGTATTTCCTTTTTCTTGACTTACAGCTCATGAATGACACCAGACATGAGATTCCAGCTCGGTTTGTTTTCTGTGTCTGTTTTAATAGCCCCTAGTTTATGTGCCACACGCATCTAGTGGAGTCAAATTGGCAATTCAGAGGGAATGTGTAGAATTGAATAGAATGGCAGCATCTTACTGTGGTGCTTTAGGCCTGAAATATACAGATTGTATTGTAGTGATTCCTAAGCTGGAAAATTTGATATTTAGCTTTAATGAATCTAGAAAATAGAAAAAAGCTCAAAATTGTGTAATATATCCAGGTTTTGGAATATATTTATGTTGACTCTTAGCAGAACTTTTACTACTAGTAGCAATTTTTTAACTTTAATAATGATTTAGTGGTAATAATAAATGACATAATTTGGTTTAATAATTCTGGTTTGGTGTTCATATAGAGCTTGAGCCTGAATGATTGTAATGATGAAAGTTTACAGTAATTGTTTGGTATGAATCATCCCTTAAAGCATGTAAAACAAATGCTTTGGCCAAACATTTGTGTAGTGTATTTCTGGACTTAAACAGTAGAGACAAGCACAACTGCATGTCTCCACATAATGTTTTATTAATATAGAGTGAAATTACTTCTGCTTTATCTGTTCTCCTAGCCTTCCCGGATGACTTTATTTCCCCAGAGCTGAAGCAGATTTCATCAATAGTTGCTAATGAATGCTGGGAAGTGCTGGAATGAATCAAACGATCCTGGACAATCTGATTTAGGAGTCATTATGTATCGTAGACCCCAGACCCAATCCATCCCCCTCCAGACAATCTCTCGCCTTTGTTTGGCCTTTCTCTCTCTCTCTCTCTCTCTCTCTCTCTCTTTCCAGATGGATATTTTTTCAGCACTGAAGATTTTGATTTTGAGTTTCTGTTGGCTCATGAAAACTTCATGTCAGGGCTTTCTGTCATGTTAGCAGCCATCTGCTTGCACGTGTCAGTTTCTCCTCATACAGGCCTGTTTTTAGAAGCAAGCGGCTCCAGCTCTTTACTGCTGTCTCTTGGGTCTGGGTGCATTTGGACCCAGTAAGCGACAGACTAAACTACATATGAAAGCCTTATGGCCAGAAACCCGTCTGTTGGTGTCAAATTCGGATTGTGTGTTTGCTCTAATTGGATGAGATGATGGAGATATCCATTTTACTGTCCACTTACTCATCCATTTAAACCTTAATCCATTTTTCACTGTGAATTGTAAAATGAAAATTTTGACCTATCTTTCCATTCACCCATACTTAACAGCTGATCGCTAGCAAGTAGCATTTTGTCAGAATGAAGGAAGAGGGATTAAATGTGGATAGATGGATGACTAGAAGTAAAGTGAGGATAACAATAAGAGAAACTGTGGCTATAGTGATGACCTGAGGACATCTGTTCGCACCTGCTCAGGGGAACAGGAAGAAGAAAAAGTCCTGCAGAGAAAGAAATTGAGAGTTACAAAGGGCCAAACCAATATTTTTGCTGTCATGATGGTTTGATACAAGCTACATGTCAAGGGGCACTTTATATTGTTTGTTAGAAACATACAGTATTATATAAAATTGAGATCCAGACCTGATATTCTTGTAGTTTCTAAAGATCAAGATATTTTTTTTAATTAATTTCAGCCCAGTTCAACATGATTTTTTATTTTATTTTTTTTAATAATGTATATTTATATTTATGTATTTTAAAAATATATTCATATTTATTTTGTTTAGATTTTTTTGTTTATATTTTATATATTTATATTTCAATGTAAATACTAATAATTTTTAATAATTAATTTATTTTTTCATATGTATTTTTTTATTTATTTAATTTTTTTAGAGCTATCTAGTGACCAGAATATCATATAGACTTGCGGATGCTCTCAGGCCATTAAAAATCCCCTAGCAGCCATCCAAAAGCAAACCCATGGCAACATCCTGAAAACCACCTGACCTGTGACACACTAGCATTGTGGTTGCAAGTTTTGCATGGGCAAGTTGGTTTTCTCACTCACATTTCCTTCAGAAAATGAGCAAATATAGTTTCGTATGAATGCATGAATATTGTTTCTGCCTACCAGATCAGTGAGTTTGTTTTTGTGTGTCCCAAACCTGCTACAAAGTCCAGTGTTAGACTGCAGCTCAACTAGATAAATGGCAGAACTGTTTTGGGATCAGCCGCTTTGAGAAAATGTCTCCTAGTTCTGTGACTATCTCACCAAATGCCAGCGTTTGTCCCCAGAGATTCATTAAAATGGTTTCCTCAAGCATCTCATGTATGCAGATTCTCTTCTCTTTTTGTCTGTTCAGATTAAACACACATTTGTGTTGTCATGTTCTGAAATGTGTGTGTTACCTCGAACCATCTGTTTTTAACCCCGAGCTCACTCATTACTGTCTTTTGCTTTTCAGACACTTTGATGTGGGGCTTTACAAATGGCTCATCAGGTACGATTCCTCTGTTTCTTCTTATTTTGTGTGGGTGTGCGACAGAGAGGGAGATGTTTTGCACTGCTATGGACACGGTTATCTCTTGTCGCAGATTGGAAAGCACATGAATAATAATCATAATCAAAAACCATAATCACTAGAACAGCATTCTGGCATTATAAACTGGCAGTCTTGCATCTATTTTCTTTTGTTCTTGCTAGATTTGAATGTTTTTTTTTCTGCTCCCTTGTAATTTAAATTTTTAGGAAATTTACTGATATATAATACACATCAGAAAAATATTTTCTGATGTTCATATTTAGCAGCAACATCACTTTTTTTTAAAACAAGTTTTAACAGCAAACCCATTTAAGCTGGTGCATTAGCATACTTAGCTGAAGATGAAAGCAAAACTTGCGCAATTATCCTTCAGAAAGAAGAATGTTGCTATTGTCACGTTGTTAGATGTGCTTTAAGCCATTAAGGTAAAATTTCTTAATGAACTTATGATATGTGACAGTGTGATGCCCAGATTTGGCACAGTGGAAGAGACTCACACTACATACTAAATAGCCCTGTAAAGAAAATAATCTAACCAAATGACTCATTTACATTTAAATATACATGCAAATCAGTTAATTATATATATATATATATATATATATATATATTGGCTCTCAAAATGATCCAATTTTATGCAGATGAGCTTCATAATAGGGTGTGTACCATACACTCAAGGCATCACTGTTATTGTGAACTGGCAGCCTACAGTGAACAGTTTTTATTTCAGCAAGACACAGTGGATAAATTTGGTACCGGTCATGATTGGTCACCCAAGAGTCCAGAAACACGGCTCAGCTCAGTCTCTCTCGCCGCCGAAAATGTTCTGCTTTTTGGTTGCAAGTTTTTTTAAGAGAAGTAGTTCTCTTTTTATGCCAGGTACCATTTGCTTTTTCTGTGATTTGATTTACACTCTGACAATAGGCAGAATATGATGAATATTGTAATTTTGGATGGATTTAGCCTTGCAAAAAACAGCTGCTGAATGTTTCCACAAAATACCTGATACCTCAGAATAATATTAGTAATGAAGATAAATAGCTGTTTATCAGTAAAATGTTTGTAATGTCTCGAATAGGAATATATTGCATAAATTCCCCAACACATCTTTGTGTAATATTACAGAATTTATATTATTACAAAATGTATTATGCAATATATTGTATATAAACAAAACACATGTTTTATACATGATTGCATGAGCAGTCACTTTCCTGGCAGGAAGTCAGACAAATCATTCTCCAGAGCACCTGGACAGATGTTGCTTTAATTATATTTTTCTTTTTGTATAAATTCTCTCAGGGACTGGAATAGGTTGATTCAGTTGGGAAACCCTTCAAAAATAATAATAATTAAAAAAAAAAAAAAGGTCCTGGCGTAACCTCGTCTGCTCAGCTGTTGCATTTCCTGACACAGTTATTCATATTCTAATGTCCTCCAGCTGTATGGAGAGGTCATTGTGGAGGTTTCGGAGAGAGAGCTCGGGATGTGTTTTCGTGCTGGGTTTGGTATTGTCAGTCTTTGGCAGGGCTACGATCTCCACAGACAAAAGATGTTTGATCAGGTTTGTATTAGCATGTATTTAGCACGATGAGCATCTTATTCTATCCAATGCTGGAAACTCGCCAGTTTGTGTGAATATGTACATTGGAAATGAATGTTACGTGTGATGCTGCTTGGGTCAATAGACCCAAAAGCCCATAAATTATTTAATATTTTATTTTTAGAGCATCAGGGCAAATGACAAGACACTGTGTGTCTTATGCAGATTTCTATGATGTTTACAAAGCAAGACAGTCCAAGAGAATGAGTTAATATTATCAGCCTGAGACCAATTCTGGCCCATCACAACACACAGCAAATATTCATGCACAATATGCATCACACACGCATAATAGGGATGCATGTTATATCTGTACTAAATCGTTTTTTTAGGACATTATGAAATGTTTTATTTTTTTTTCTCAAGTTCTGTGACTTCTTGTTTTCATTTTTCTGGACTTAATTTAATTAAATCATTAAACCTTTGATAATAAAAAGGATGCCTTGCTCTTGGTAGATTGAGATATTTTTCTTCTCTCACGTTCTGCTAATTTAAATTTTGCTAAATTTTTACTTTTATATTAAGTCTGACATCATCTAACACTCACCTAAAGTAAATTTTTTAAAACCCTAATAATTTAATAACAGTGCTAGATGTAATCTTTAGCAAATTTCTAAATGAATATCCACTTTTCATACTTTACATTCTGTTGGGATTCCTAAATTCATGTAACATTGAACTTTTTAGTGTTTTATTTTTTATGTATTTAGACAAAATAGCATAGAATTTATTATTGGCCAGATTTTTTTTATAATTATCGGCTATAACATGAAAATAATTATTGCTTAATATGTATCAATCAAAATCTTTATAGTAGTACATCTTTACACAATAAATGTTCAACAGTATTTTCAAAATAAATAAATCTTAAATACTGTTTAATTTTAAGGAGGGTGAGAGGAAACTATATAATTTTTCTTCCCCCAAAAATGTTGTTTTCTAATTTGATTAACCTCGACTATAAAGTGTTATCTATATCTACATCCATACACCCTAGTTTGGCATGTAGAAGAACTGTGAGAAGACTCATTTTCAGACAGATAACTGAAGCGGCCAGCGGTGGGAATACAGCACAGAGAGCTGCAATATATATTTCCCGCCCAAATGGGAAGTGTCCCATTGGTCCCTGAATCCCACCAATCAGAAAGCTGAGAGTGTAAGCACTTCCATACTTTTCAAGCGGGAACACTGAGTTTAAATTTGAGTATGTTGAGTAACCCCTTCATTGCGAACAGAAACCCAAAAACATTTCCATCTCTTCCTGACCATATCTTCTCCATCTTTCTCTCTCTCTCTGTTAAAATGTGTAGTGATTGCAGTGTGGCGGAGAGAGTTAATCTGCATAATTGGAGTGTGAATGTGGGCTGTGTGTGTGTGTGTACATGTTTTTCTATCCCTGTGGGGACTTAAACCTGAATGGTGTAGGGGGATAGAATATACGGTTTATACAGTATAAAAACCATTACACCTATGGAGGGTCCCCACAAGGATAGTAAAAGTGTGTGTGTGTGTGTATGTGTGTGTCTGTCTGTGTGTGTGTGTGTGTGTGTGTGTGTGAGTGTTGTAAAGTGCATTTGGAGAGATCTTAATGTGCTTTTAAATGTGCAGTAATTGTGAAGAGCTGAGTTTTGGAGTGTGGAGATGTGGGAGAGGATCATCGCTCTCCGTTCGTGTGACTCACCGCTGAGGGCTGTGCGATATTGAAGAAAAATGCGATATGCGATAACTCATTAAATAATGCGATATGCGATACGATAATGCTTAAAGTGCCACATGCTCAGATGAAACAGTTTTACTCAGCTGTTGCTGAGTCAGTTCTGTGAACTTCTATCACTATCTTGTGTCATATATATATGGTTATTTGTATGTAGGTATGTATGTAGCTCCTGTAAAACCACAACAAATTCCTTGTGTTTGCGCACACTTAAGTGGTGAATAAAGCTCATTCTGATTCTGATTCTAATATAACTAGCATACATGTTTCACTTTTTGTGAGAAGAAAGCACCCCTACAACAACTTCTGAAAGTGAACGGTATGTGTTTTACTCGAGCATTACATAAAAATGTCATTTTAACATTAGTGTAATCATTTTAACATGAGTTTAGGAACTGAATAATAAAAAGGAAAAATACAACACTGCTTAGTATTTACTCTATGAATTCAATATGCACTGATTCTTATTTAAGCTACAAAAGTTATTTAGGTAAGAGCAGTGAGTGATTTTCTCTTTGTCTTTTGTTCATGGCCCCAAATATTGCAAGCTGTAGCGATATGTACATTTGCGATATTTCGATAATTTCGATATATTGCACAGCCCTACCACTGATCTTAAAGCATCCACAAGACACACGCCGCGCACCCCTCCTGTCGCGCGCTATTGTCTGCTTGAACGCCTCACTTTCAGCCTGTTGAGTGTCATCTCCTGTCTATTGAAATGTGCTCACAACAATCAAATCACAGATGCAGTTCATGAGCTTTTATAAGGGCGAGAGAGGGCTCAGATTATACTGCGGTGGCCACAGAGGCAGAATGAGACCTTGTTGTTTCTGTTCCTACTGAAAATGTGCTCATAAACACTTTTTTTCAGCAGGGCAACATCTATGCTTGGGCTTTAAAAAGTACATTAACAAAAGAAACAGAAGCAGAATGCAAGATCCAGTATTGCAGGGTAAATCTGTACTAAAAAAAAGTACTATGGTGCCAAAAATGTACCATGTTACTACAGATTACACTAATTTACAGTTCAGGAAGCGTGACATGGATTAAAAGTTAATGTGATTCATTAAATGGGTTTTAAGTGCATTTAGCTGAGTTTGACATCATAATTGTTTCATTCTGAAATGTAGTTGTAAATCAAGTCCAAATGGGATGTTTAACAAAAGAAAGATAACTTGCCCTCTTTTTTTGTGACAGAACATAATTATCATGAAAGCCTAATAAATATTAAATTGTGTATTTTTGTAGAAAAATTTATATAAAGATTGAGATCACAATGGCAAAAACATTTTTATTAAATATATAAGTAAAGTTTGGGGGAACATGTTATATTATTTATTGCAGATTTGCATTTCCCGTGTGTATTGATAGTGCTTGTGAAACAGAATGTGTGTGAGCGCTGTTGCAGAAATACAACTCTTTCAGATGCCTATAAACAATATGTATTATGCATAAATAATGTTATATATATATATATATATATATACATACATATATATATATATATATATATATGTACACACACACACACACACATACGTATAAGCATACACATAATATTAATTGTAAGTTTCATTTCATCAGTCACTCATTGCTGTTTAGGTGTCGTCCAAGGTATTTATTTAGTCAAAATGCCGAGGTGCCAAAGGCAGCTATCACACCAAATTCATATTTTGGTATCAATCCAACCCTACTGACAAGTCTAATCAGTTGCATGATGTCAAAACTTTTTAAAAATATTATATTGATATATGAATAACAGATAATTTAAGATTTTAACTGTCAGATATTCACAGGTTTTTGAGCTTTTAGAGTGATGGGTTATATACATGCATTGGGAAATAAGTACAAACTCAGAGACACATTTGCCTTCACACTCTAGTTTTTAGTTTTGTCAACAAGTCTAAAGGGGCGGTCACACTACACTTTCTGTTCCATTGACTTCTACTGATACACATGCACATGTTTCACATTTCGCTGTGTTCCAAAGGTCAAGTTTGGTGAACTTTAACCAGCGAATTCATATCACATGAAGATGTGTAACCAATAGAAAATTGTTGCATCACGGTGTGACCTCATAGCTGAATTAAAAGAACATACATTTAAAACTAAGATCCTAAATCTTAAAAACATCATACATGTGCACAGGCATCATTGATCAATTTAATGCATCCTTGCCAAATAAAACTATTAATTTTTTCCATACCACAAACTTTTGAATGGTAGTGTACATGTTAAAAAAAGTGGGGAAAATAAAAATTCTTTGACAACAACATTTTTCAAGTACAGTAAGCTTGTCTTGTTTTAAGGATGTTTAGATCATTTTACTGGTGTTTAGAGCATTTTTCAGAGCGTAATTTTGCTTCTTTCTGATTAAATGACATTGCGCCCTAATGAGCCCTATCAATAAACCATCAGTAAGACCAGTCAGCGTATCAATGAATCCACAAAAACCCATCAATCGTATTAGGCATCCTATAGGAGAGAAACAGACACATGAATGTTAAAGAATAAAAATAGAAGAGCAGAGATTTAAGTGTGATAAAATAAAGCACAGTTGATCTTCTTTTCTTGATCTCTACACACGCTGTCAGCTGGAGCTGTGGTCAGGGGCTAATCTTATCCTCTTCACTATCTCCCTCACACACACAAATGTGTCAAGTCCTCCACTATCCCAACAGCCTCATTAGAACAGATTGGTGCTCTCTCAGCCCTGAAATGGAAACTACCATACTGCCGTAGAGAGAGATCGAGTTCAGTTGAGAATTCTCTCTCTCTGCTGTCTGTTATCACTGTGAGGTGAACAGTGGCCGTTTTACAGACAGTATGTCGTCTGAAGACACTTTTTTCTCTCTTTCACACATTTAACTAACAGACAGTCATGGTCCACATGATAGAAATGGCTTAATAAACAATGTCTTAATGCAATTGTAAAAATGCAAAAAGTTTGTTTGGAGGATGTAAAATATTATCTCAATATTAAAACAATTTAATTGTTCATTGTCACATTGGGCTTAAAGGTGGGGTAAGCGATTTCTGGTAGCCAATGTTGACATTTGAAATCAGCAAAACAAACCCGCCCCTAACCCAAAAGGGTCTCGCCCCTATTTTGATAGCTCTGCCCCACACATACGTACGCAACCCAGGCTACGATTAGTTCTGTGAAACAAAGCAAAACCAATGTTACACCGTGTCTACACCGGACGTGAATGGCGCGGCATGACAAAATACTATAGAACTCATTATAATCGGTGATGCTGTCTACACCATAGATATATATACATATCTATGGTCTACACTGGATGCAGCGTGGTGTTAGAACGAGCCGTTTTAGGTAGGCGTGGTTGACTCTTAACTTTTATAAAGAAAAGCTATTCGGCCCGAATCAGTTTTCTAAAGCGTTTTTGAAAAATCGCTTACCCCACCTTTAAAAGAAAACAGCAACTCTTGTTTTCCACATATTATTGTTCATTAGTTCATTTTTTTTTTGCTGAGCATGTGTGTTTGTATGTTTTTAGGTACATATATGTGCCATTGGGTGGCTCTCGTCATGGTGTGCTCCGGAAGCTCGTCTCCACGGCGCTTGCATTTGGGTTTGTGTGTTTCTGGCATGGTTGCCATGACTACCTTCAGTACTGGGCCTTGCTGAACTGGATTGGAGTGTTGGTGGAGAACGTTCTCGCACTCCTCTTCTCCTCTCGTCCTCTTCATCACGTTATTGTGAGTTTACACAAACCCTCTCCTCTCAAGTTATCAGCATTAAATAAAGTTCAATGTAAGGTCACTAATAAATCCCACATGACATGTCATGAATAATAACAATCTCTTTTGATCTCATGTTAGGTGCGGTGTCTGTCACCTCGGATGCAGAGGCGTGGCCTAGCACTTATCTCCGCCCTCTCCACTGCTTTTCTGATTCTGTCCAATCTGCTTTTTCTGGGCGGGATCCATGTGGGCAGAATCTTCTGGAAGAGGCTGTTTATCCAAGGTGGGTCATTTACATGTATGGACTTTCTTACATACCCTTGTGAAAAATAAGTACATTTTAGCATACTTTAAAAAAAACAGTACTTATTATGGAAATATTATACTTTTAAAAAATATTCTTAGGTGTGAATTGAATGTAATGTTTTCAGACACTTAATTACTGAACGATTTGCTGAAAACTTGCTCACCATCAGGCCATCAAAGATGTAGAAGAGTTTGTTCAATGGAATAGATCTGGAGAATAGGGATGGGCGATACCCCTTATTTTGTTTTCGATACGATACCGATATTTTTCAAGGCAGTATCGTTGATATCGATACCGTTTCGATACTTCTGCACTAAACTTTTAAATTATTAAATTTTTTAAATTATTAAATTACTAAGAGTAAAATGGGTAATGAAAACCACTTAACTTTGTTTAAAACGCATTTTAACCCGTTTAATCCCAAATTTTTCCCAGACATGAAAATATCCAAATGATGTGTCATTAGTAACCCTTTGAAATAATCAATTTTTTATTTTTTTTTTGGAAAAGTGTGTGAAAATTTTTATTTTATGGTCAGTCACAATTGTAACCGGTGGGATAATGTGTATACTAAATTAACATATTTCTGCGGTCTTAAAAATTGTTATATATCTTTGCCCAGCTATTTTAAGCTGTTTGATCACATTCTAGGGTTACTATTATGCATAAAAAACCCTTATACAACATTGATAGGAATACTGAGATCAAATACAAAAAAATACAACCATCAACGTATTTAAAAATTGTTACTTTTTTGTAACATATATCATCACATTTTTATATTAGTGCTACCAGTATTACAACATTAATATTCTAACTTATTTGTAACATTTGAACTTTTGATTTAGTGCAATATTTTGTACTGCCATTAGGGACTGCCATTGAATGGCTGTTGCATGCATAAAATGCAACTTTTACATGATCAATATTATCTTTCAACGTTCAATTTAAATAATTGTAATTGCACAAACTATGTAGGCTACAATTTCAATTTGTTTATTGTGAAATAACTCAAACATTTATGTTTTTTTTTCTGTCCTCTGATAAGCATTGTTCAGGGCTGCCATTCCCAAAAGCTTTAATGCTTTTTTATGATACTTTTGGGAAACGCAGCCCTGTTTGAATGCACTGTCAGCAGTGAGTGAATGCTCTCTGTGATTGATTGGTTCTGTCTTGCAACATTTGCGTGTGTTCAGATCAGATGAGCAGGAAAATAGTTCTATCCTACACAATTACTCGCTAACAAAGGTTATTCGTCCAATTCAATGCATATTGTACACATTATTATTATTATTATTATTGTTAAATAAACAAAACTACTGGTAAATAAAACGCACCTTAGTATCGATATTTTTTGTTTGAGTATCGATACTTTCGATACTCGCGTCAATATCGATATATCGATACTTCGGATCGATACGCCCATCCCTACTGGAGAAATGTAGCATTGCATCCTCTGCAGTGAAACTCTTAAACTCTTTAACACTTTTCAAGTGTTTAAAGAAACAGTCATGAAAGTGACACTTAATTGCACTTAATAATTTTTTATTTCATTAATATTATATTATCTGCAAGTACTTTAAAAAATGCTTTTTGCACTACAAGTGCACATTCAGTACAATTAAGCACTTTTTTTTACAAGGGTAGAGAGACATTCACACGTCATCAGTCAGATTTTTCCCCCTCAATCCATAACTGCTGACAAGTCAACCACAGCTGCTGACAAAGGGTTTTTAAACTCTCTGGGAATGTGAAAGTTTTCAACCTTTTAACGTTTTGTGGGTCATGTTGAGGCTGAGATGATTTGGTGCTGTAATGTAATGATGTGAGACTGCCTGTCATTTCATCCCAGATCAGACACAAAAGTGAGGAAATGAATTCATTCTGAAGTGCTCAGAACACATTTTGTGTTGGAGAAGAACTGAGTCACTGTTTTGTGGTGCATATGAGATGTTGCAAATGATTTCGTAAGATTGTTTGTAGGATTTGTTATGAATTATTATTATGCTTTTTCAATATACATTGGGGTATAAAATTCTGAACATTGAAAAATGTGTGATTCAAAATCAAACTTAATAAACAGTTGTAGAATTTTGATCAAATTAAAACCAAGAAATTTTATAACATAAAATTAAGAGAAATTATAATATAAAATAATACATATTCAAGATTCTGCACTATTTATTGGTCACTAATCAAAAAAAGTCTTCACAAACTGCTTTAGGATCTTGCTGGTAGCTGCTAAGCAACATATAATGTCAAATGAAGCACTAGTGAGCATCTGGGCATTTATCTGTGAAGAGTTATAGAGAGAGAGAGTGGTGTGAAGATCTTTTGGAAAAATAAAGGCAGTGAATGTCTGTCTGGAAGTTTCTAGAAGCTGCTATTCATCCATTTGCCACCGGGTACCATAAACACCACAGAGTCTTAACAACGGTCGCCATGGTATCATTCATTCTTGACATCTCTGAAAGGTAGCCGTGCTGATCACACCCACCCCCTACAGCAGCTGTCAGTCAGACGCTGACGGAAAGGGTTTGTGCCGCTCAGGAGCTGCGGGGTATAGTAAAGCTCAGAGAGAGACCTGCTGGCCTCAGAGACTCACAGGACCCTAAAGTTATTCATTCATTCATTCATTTCATCCTCCGTTTATTATAGGAACCATATCCTACTACTTTAGTAGTAATTTAGTAATTTGGTTTAGTTTAGTAATTTGCTCCCTTAAGTCAGTTTTGTTAGTCAAATTTGCAATAATTGTCTAGTTTACATGTCTGGTTTACATGACGATTTAAAGTACATGACAATTTAAAGGTTTACATTTCAGTAAACAGTAATCTAAAAAACTGTTTGAAAAGTATGAATTTAATCGGTTTGATGAATTTAACCTCTGGGGAGGAGTTCAGAAAAAAATTCTGCTTCATTGAAGGGTCACAGAAGCATCCTCTGTTACCCTTAATGGAAGAAGTTTGAAACAACCAGGACTCTTACTAGAGCTGGCCTCCTGGCCAAACTGAGCAATTTATGGAGAAGGGCTTTGGTTAGCATGGTGACCAAGATCATATGTGGATATAGGAGAAATCTACAGAAGGACAAACATCGCTGCAACACTCCACCAATCCAGTCTTTATGGCGGTGTGGCCAAACTCAATCCTCTCTTCAGTTAAGACACATGAAAACACACTTGGAATTTACTAAAAAGCACCTAAAGGACCCTCAGACTCTGAGAAACAGGATTCCCTGATCTGATGAACCTCAATTCTAAGCATCATGTTTGAAGGAAACCAGCTCCGCTCATCACCTGCAGAGTACCATCCCAAAAGTAAAGTGTGCTGGTAGCAGCCTCATGCAGTGGGCTGTTTTTCAGAAGCAGGGACTGAGGGACTCGTTAGAGTAGAAGAAAC